GTAAAGACCTGCATTTCCAATATCAGAGAGACGTACGTAGGGCTGAAGCACCTTCGATGTCGAGGTGACGTTTCTCCGAGTTTGGAAGGTCGTGTATTGTGCCCTCGTAACTGTTGTGGGACTTTGAATCTGCGAGTATAAAGAAATCCGTCGACTAGAGGTTTTCAACACTACGCATTCTGGCGCAGATCCGATTGAATGAGCTGGTTAGCACCCCAGGCTATACCTCTTGTTTTGGAATGCATCGGTTAGAAGTTCATTATCAAATCAATTTCAGATAAGTGAGCTCCACAAACCTGACAGTCGTCTACCGCGCCTCACCTCATTTGCAGTTTCCTTTCCGGGCAGAACAAAATCACATCAGGACCAACAGATATCGTGGAGAAGACATATGCACACAACGTTTAGGTACAGAAGGTATAGGGTATAGCAGCACACCGACAGCAGTCGCGTTCTCGTTACTTCTTATCAGATCCTAATATTTGAAGTGTGCATGCATAGTGTGTACTCTGTGTTGACTATAGATTTTCGTCTTTCCCCTCCTTCGAAATAGGCCAAAACCCTGTCCACCTTACACGTTCTCACCACATTTTTTTGCGTGGGGAGCTTGGCAGCGATTAAAGTTCGCTTCATTGTATTTTACGATGCTGGCGAGGCAAGTTCATCTGTTTTTAGCGTTTTCACTCGACCATGTAGTGTTATCAGTTTATTCTAGGTTGAAACTTTTCCTTGAGAGAATTTCCGTCCCTCCGTTTTGAAGATCGGCTAGAGTATTCCGTAAAGCATCTCCAGGTAAATTTGAAAGTGAATGGGTATATGGGGTAGCCCTGTCGTATTCTATTGGGGATGTTTGGAGATAACGACAATTGGCCATGGGGCCTAACTCGATCTGAAGGGTTGGACTGTCGAGACCACAGTACGTGTACCGGAATAGCTGATGTGGACTCCTGTTCATTTGTAGCTTGAAGCACTCAGTCTACCATCCAATTTGGTTGGGATAGTTTATCGCAATCTAAACATTGTTCGATCGTGCAGCTCAGTGAAAGCAAGTGCGTAGTCGCATTCAGCGAGGGTGCTCTAGTATGATCAACAATGCTGGTCGCAAGCCAAACATTTTTGGCTCATGGAGATGCTGTCAATTTGGGTTAATTTTGACTGGAGGAGGATGGATCAAGGTCACGCAGTGTCAATTAGATCGCCTGATGTTCATATGTGCCAGAAATGGACTGATCGTAGCAGAACGCCAGTAGCCGTTCCCCGTTTACGGAGCTCAGTAACCGGTACACGAACCAAGCTCAGCGTAACCCTCACAGTTCACCCACCGAGAGCCTGACTATCTCACAGTAGTCTGAGAACAGCCCCTCGAGCTTTAAGACCCATTGTGTATGATTTATTGCATCCCACGACAAAAGTAGTGCACCCCACCTAGATTTTTGGATTATTTCCGCATTTTGTTAAGTGTGAGTAGTGAACTTTTTGGGGTATCATGCTGGAAAACGGCCTCAGAGTGATCATTCGATGTCAGTGCCAGCATTAGTTGCCGTGCCTGTGTACGAATATATGTAATGGAATCTTTTACCCCACACAATGAAGCGAGCACGGTTAGGCCGTTACTTTCTAAGTACCCTGTACGGTCGCCTTCCTTGGCCTGGGCAACCTTGGAGTATTCTGCCCACATAAAAGATTATTGTTTCATGATTTGTTTGACACAGTCTAGATTCAGACGTGTGTGAAATATAAATAAACATACGGAGTTTTAATCGATAATCCGCTTACTGAAGCATCGCTATTTCTACATTTATATGTAAAATACACTTTTGCCCATCTGGGTCGTGGCCGGGAGCAAGGTATCTCCATTCAAATTCTAATTCAGGAGATCAAAACAGGAATACACCCGTCTTTCTGAGACACTTGTCCTTTGATTTTTCATGAATTCAGCCCTGAAGCCGCTGATCAATAGTAAGACAACCGCAGGTTGAATACTGTGCTAACTCCAACTTAATATCCAATGGAGCACCCAGTACAATGCTATCATTCTTTGGGGGTAAATCTCAATACTGGAAGTGATCGCTGAACAATTTTTGTTTGCAGTGCATGGAGTAGGTATTTAAGCTGTGGAAGTTTGCTGGTCGACAAATACTGATCCTTGTTTCATAGAGTTGACTCGAAAATGTGAAATCGTTTAGCTTCATGTCCGAATCCAGTTCCAGCCTACATGATGAAATTGAAGCATCAAGTTACAGCAACATTCTACTATGAATCAGATACCGTCAAGGAGATTACACAAAATTTGCCTGATGTCTCTAGACTTCCCTCTCACGATCCATATGTGAGCAAATGAAAGAGTGGCTTCATTGCTGCAAGACACAGGTAGCCTATCGAAACCGGTTATTACCTTGTACTGGGATAGCGGCCATACAGAATTTACTTCGTATGATTGTCGTATCAGTTTTAGTGTAGATGAAATCACTCAACTACAGCACTGACTATGAGACATCCATATTCAGATAACCAATTGAGATTCACTGAGAGTGGGTATGTTGGAAACAGAGATCCGCAAATAGTGATTGTGCGCTAGACATTTTGAAGTGTTCAGTTGTTAACTTAATTCGGTTGTCAGATAAGTTGTCATAGGGTTTATATAT